ACCAGGATGGTCTCGATCTCTTGACCTCGTGATCCACCCGCCTCGGCCTCCCAAAGTGCTGGGATTACAGGCTTGAGCCACCGCGCCCGGCCTTAAAATTATATTTCTTAGGCTTCCATAAAATTCAACATCTCAAGTTAGGAAAAAGTCATTACATCTAATAAAAGCTTATCCACCAGGTTGGCAGCTGTGGACTTCTATTAATAGACTGAAGAATTAGGAAATGTGTGTAACTTAAACCTAGAGAAGTAGATTAAGTTATCACCTCTTGAAGTTTTGAAATCATTGTTGTAACAACCATGTATACATGGTTCAGAATCACAAAATCAGAATCACAGCTAGGAATATAGTTAGCCTCATGGCTTCACACTATTAGTAGATGATGTCACTTGCAACCAGAAAGACTGCATATGGCCTAAGGCCCTTCTAGCTGTCATAATGAACAGGTCAAAGGACTGTGGGGCTGAGCCCAGTACGGTTTCAACTTTTCTTTCCCAGCAATTTCCTCCAATACCTGAAGCTCAAATTGCAATCTTTGTCCAAGACCCCTTTCTGCCTATGTAGAGTGTGTCATGCCAACCCTGGACTCCACACCCAGCACATCTGTCCCAGCAGAGTGACTAGTCCATATAAAAGAAATCATCAGAAAGGACCGCCTTGAACCTAGGTGGATTATGCCTTGAGAAGTGCTTGACCATGCCTGTGCAGGTGGGCTCTGCACACTTGCAGCCCTATGGACATCAACCATATGAAAACTGTCATCAAAATGAAGTGAGCCTGACTCTTCTGGAAATTGCAGCTACTTCTTAAGACCCTGAAAGCTAGAAGGGACCCCTCATTTTTACCACTTTCCTCATGATTTTCTTATAGTGATAGTGAATAATTATATAATTGTGGCCTAATGAATATTTAGGTATACAAGTGAGTTTGTCCATTCGCAGAGGGGGGAATGATGAAGTAAACCAGCCTCCTTATGATAAAAATAACTTTATCTTTCATATGTTACAAGTTAAAAACTTGTGCTTACTCTGGCAGCACATATACTAAAACTGGAATGATTCAGGGAAGATTAGTATGGCCCCTGTGCCAGGATGACACATGAATTCGTGAAGCATTCTATATTAAAAACAATAAGAAGAAGTTGTGCGCAGTGGCTCATGCCTGTAATCTCAGCACTTTGGGAGGCTGAGACAGACGGATCACCTGAGGTCAGGACTTTGAGACCAGCCTGACCAACATGGTGAAACTCGTCTCTACTAAAATACAAAAATTAGCCGGGCATGGTGACATGCACCCGTAGTCCCAGCTACTTGGGAGGCTGAGGCAGGAGGATTGCTTGAACCCAGGAGGCAGAGGTTGCAATGAGCCGAGATTGTGCCATTGCACCCCAGCCTAGGCAACAAGAGTGAAACTCCATCTCAAATAATAATAACTACAATAATAAGAGTTAAAAATTCTAGAGGACTGTGATTCCCTTTCTTTTGAAAGGTATGTTTATGTTTATTGGTACTTCCTCTGTTTCAAAATATAAACTTGAATTGCTTTTCAAATCTACTGTTGAAAGTATAACAGCCTTTGTGAACCCCAGAACAATTTCTGGAAAGGTTGTGATATCTGGGAATTATACCTATTTAGAAAACCAAACCAGCTGCCTACATTTCCTCCTTCAGACAGATACCTTTTGGTAAATAGCAAAAATCACATTTCAAAAAATCCAAATGTGTAGTCTCATATCACAACAAATGTCACATTTTGAAAGTACTGTATGGGCAATTTAAGAGGAACCATGTGGAGATGTATAGCGATTGGAAGCCTTCATTTTTTTTTTTTTTTTTTTTTTTTTTTTTTTTTTGGTTTTTTTTTTTTTTTTTTTTTTTTTTGAGACGGAGTTTCGCTCTTGTTACCCAGGCTGGAGTGCAA